GCATGTATCCACGGCAGAATTTATATTTAAATTAGTTCTTACAATGCTAATACATTTGCATACTCAATTGTAAATTTGTAAACAAAAAGTTCACAACTCCGCAAATAATGCATGTATCCACGGCAGAATTTATACTTATATTAGTTTTTAGAAGGCTAATACATTTGCATACTCAAATGTAAATTTGTAAACAAAAAGTTCACAACTCAGCTAATAATGCATGTATCCAATTCAGAATTTGTATTTATAATAGTTTTTACACGTCTAATACATTTGCATACTCAATTGTAAATTTTTAAACAAAAAGTTCACAACTCCACTAATAATGCATGTATCCAACCAGAATTTGTACTTATATTAGTTTTTAGAAGGCTAATACATTTGCATACTCAATTGTAAATTTGTAAACAAAAAGTTTACAACTCCGCTAATAATGCATGTATCCACGGCAGAATTTGTACTTATATTAGTTTTTAGAAGGCTAATTTATTTGCATACTCAATTGTAAATTTGTAAACAAAAAGTTCACAACTCCACTAATAATGCATGTATCCAACCAGAATATGTACTTATTTTAGTTTTTAAACGGCTAATACATTTGCATCCTCAATTGTAAATTTGTAAACAAAAAGTTCACAACTCAGCTAATAATGCCTGTATCCACTTCAGAATTTGTATTTATATTAGTTTTTAGAAGGCCAATACATTTGCATACTCAATTGTAAATTTGTAAACAAAAAGTTCACAACTCAGATAATAATGCATATATCCACTTCAGAATTTGTATTTATAATAGTTTTTACACGGCTAATACATTTGCATACTCAATTGTAAATTTGAAAACAAAAAGTTCACAGCTCAGCTAATAATGTCTGTATCCACTTCAGAATTTGTATTTATAATAGTTTTTACACGGCTAATACATTTGCATACTCAATTGTAAATTTGTAAACAAAAAGTTCACATCTCAGCTAATAATGAAATTTGTAAACAAAAAGTTCACAACTCAGCTAATAATGCATGTATCCACGGCATAAATTGTACTTATATTATTTTTTACATGGATAATACATTTGCATACTCAATTGTAAATCTGTAGACAAAAAGTTCACAGCTCAGCTAATAATACATGTATCCACTTCAGAATTTGTATTTATATTCGTTTTTACACGGCTAATACATTTGCATACTCAATTGTAAATTTGTAATCAAAAAGTTCACAACTCCGCTAATAATGCATGTATCCACGGCAGAATTTGTATTTATATTAGTTTTTACAAGGCTAATACATTTGCATACTCAATTGTAAATTTGTAAACAAAAAGTTCACAACTCAGCTAATAATGCCTGTATCCACTTCAGAAATTGTAATTATATTAGTTTTTACATGGCTAATACATTTGCATACTCAATTGTAAATTTGTAAACAAAAAGTTCACATCTCAGCTAATAATGAAATTTGTAAACAAAAAGTTCACAACTCAGCTAATAATGCATGTATCCACGTCAGAATTTGTACTTATATTAGTTTTTACAAGGCTAATACATTTGCATACTCAATTGTAAATTTGTAAACAAAAAGTTCACATCTCAGCTAATAATGAAATTTGTAAACAAAAAGTTCACAACTCAGCTAATAATGCATGTATCCACGGCAGAATTTGTACTTATATTAGTTTTTACAAGGCTAATACATTTGCATACTCAATTGTAAATTTGTATACAAAAAGTTCACAACTCAGCTAAAAATGCCTGTATCCACTTCAGAATTTGTATTTATATTAGTTTTTACAAGGCTAATACATTTGCATACTCAAGTGTAAATTTGTAAACAAAAAGTTCACAGCTCAGCTAATAATGCCTGTATCCACGGCAGAATTTGTATTTATATTAGTTTTTACAAGGCTAATACATTTGCATACTTAATTGTAAATTTGTAAACAAAAAGTTCACAACTCAGCTAATAATGCCTGTATCCACTTCAGAATTTGTATTTATATTAGTTATTACAAGGCTAATACATTTGCATACTCAATTGTAAATTTGTAAACAAAAAGTTTACAACTCAGCTAATATTGCCTGTATCCACTTCAGAATTTGTATTTATATTAGTTTTTACATGGCTAATACATTTGCATACTCAATTGTAAATTTGTAAACAAAAAATTCACAACTCCGCTAATAATGCATGTATCCATGGCAGAATTTGTACTTATATTAGTTTTTAGAAGGCTAATACATTTGCATACTCAATTGTAAATTTGAAAACAAAAAGTTCACAACTCAGCTAATAATGCATGAATCCACTTCAGATTTTGTATTTATATTAATTTTTACACGGCTAATACATTTTCATACTCAATTGTAAATTTTTAAACAAAAAGTTCACAACTCCACTAATAATGCATGTATCCAACCAGAATTTGTACTTATATTAGTTTTTAGAAGGCTAATACATTTGCATACTCAATTGTAAATTTGTAAACAAAAAGTTCACAACTCCGCTAATAATGCATGTATCCACGGCAGAATTTGTACTTATATTAGTTTTTAGAAGGCTAATACATTTGCATACTCAATTGTAAATTTGTAAACAAAAAGTTTACAACTCAGCTAATATTGCCTGTATCCACTTCAGAATTTGTATTTATATTAGTTTTTACATGGCTAATACATTTGCATACTCAATTGTAAATTTGTAAACAAAAAATTCACAACTCCGCTAATAATGCATGTATCCATGGCAGAATTTGTACTTATATTAGTTTTTAGAAGGCTAATACATTTGCATACTCAATTGTAAATTTGTAAACAAAAAGTTCACAACTCCGCTAATAATGCATGTATCCACGGCAGAATTTGTACTTATATTAGTTTTTAGAAGGCTAATACATTTGCATACTCAATTGTAAATTTGTAAACAAAAAGTTCACAACTCCACTAATAATGCATGTATCCAACCAGAATTTGTACTTATATTAGTTTTTACACGGCTAATACATTTGCATACTCAATTGTAAATTTGAAAACAAAAAGTTCACAGCTCAGCTAATAATGTCTGTATCCACTTCAGAATTTGTATTTATAATAGTTTTTACACGGCTAATACATTTGCATACTCAATTGTAAATTTGTAAACAAAAAGTTCACATCTCAGCTAATAATGAAATTTGTAAACAAAAAGTTCACAACTCAGCTAATAATGCCTGTATCCACTTCAGAATTTGTACTTATATTATTTTTTACATGGCTAATACATTTGCATACTCAATTGTAAATCTGTAGACAAAAAGTTCACAGCTCAGCTAATAATACATGTATCCACTTCAGAATTTGTATTTATATACGTTTTTACACGGCTAATACATTTGCATACTCAATTGTAAATTTGTAAACAAAAAGTTCACAACCAAGCTAATAATGCATGTATCCACTTAAGAATGTGTATAGTTTTTACACGGCTAATACATTTGCATACTCAATTGTAAATTTGTAAACAAAAAGTTCACAACTCCGCTAATAATGCATGTATCCACGGCAGAATTTGTATTTATATTAGTTTTTACAAGGCTAATACATTTGCATACTCAATTGTAAATTTGTAAACAAAAAGTTCACAGCTCAGATAAAATTGCATATATCCACTTCAGAATTTGTATTTATATTCGTTTTTGCACGGCTAATACATTTGCATACTCAATTGTAAATTTGTAAACAAAAAGTCCACAGCTCAGCTAATAATGCCTGTATCGACTTCCGAATTTGTATTGTAGCAGGCCAGTTGATATTATTATGATCTGGTCACACGATTGTTGGGCTACGCTCTCTGAGAGAGCAGGTTACTCTCTCTCTCTCTCAGAGAGCGCTGCTTATGAATTTTGGGGGGTTGAAAGGCACGCGGCCGGAGAGTGGCAGATCACTGTTTTTGGAGAAGTTAAAAAGAGAAGACGTAGTTGGTGAACAAAAAGATAAGAAACAAAAGTGTAAAATAATATAAGCAACATATAATACTATAATATAAGAATAAATAAAAGAGACTAATTAAAATAACATACGGCCACAATCTCAGAAGTGGGATCGAGAAAATTTTTTGTGCACGTCAACTAAAAAACCGAAATGGATTTGGACATTAATAAAGTGACGGTGGCTCAGCTGAAAAAATGGCTAGAATGTTTAAACTTGTCGACGAAGGGATCAAAAGCTGATCTGTACTCCCGGATATGTGCGATTCCACCCGAAAGCCGAGGCAGTGCTCCAATGATAAACCAGGTGGAAGAGGAGCAAGAAATTCTGGACGAAGAGGCGGAAGGGGCAGCGGTGGAGAAGCGAGTGAAGCAGAATCGGACGGAACTGGCTCGTGGCATGGCAACTATGGAGGAGCTGCATCGTGAAATCGAGAAGGCAAGGAAGGTTCTCGAGAATCTTCAGCAGCAGATCGACAGCGTCAGTTTGAGAACAAGCGACGCGCGACCAAGCGGCGCCAGAAACGACATGTCTGAACATAACGGCGACGTGTGCGAAAGAGATGGCGAGCGTAGCAACGGTGCGGCCGATGATGTCCGTAGGAGCGAAAGGGATGGCGAGCGAAGCGAAGCGAATGAGGCAGAGAGGAATGAAAGAGACGCCAGCGAGAATTCTGGAAATTTCGGACGAAACGACAACGGGCAAAACGGCAGCAGCGACGCTAACAGTGGAAGAGGTGGTCGAGACGATTTTTCGTCAGCCGGATTTGGCTTGGCAAAGGAAATCTTATTGGATTTTTCGGAAAACATGTCTGTTCGTGCCTGGGTCTCCCAATGGGAGAATGTTGCCAGATTGTATAAGCTAACGGACACCCAGAGTAGAGTTTTGCTGATTGGAAAACTGAAAGGCAGCGCGTTGCAGTGGCTACACGCAGATGCAACCCGGTTCGGAGAATCGACGAGTGAGCTGGTAGACCAGTTACTTCTTGCGTTTGGTGGCAACGAGTCGAAAGCAGAGTTGAGTCGCAAATTCGAGGCGCGGCTATGGAAGCCAACTGAGAAGTTTGCAGTCTATTTCGAAGAAAAACGCAGGCTGGCACGAGAAGTCAACATGGAAGATGACGAGCTGCTGGACGGACTTATTGTTGGCATTCCGGCGATAAATCTACGCAATCAGGCCAAGCTTCAGTGTTTCGAGAACCCAGGAAGGATGCTTAAAGCATTTGCCAACATAATGTTGCCGGTAAGGGCTGCTGGAGAGAAGGAGATGCACAACGCGAAGGATGAGCTGGCGAACAAGGAGACGCGTTGCTTTAACTGCAACGGTAAAGGGCACTGGGCTCGAGACTGCATCAAATCAAAGAGGACTCCTGGGTCTTGCTATGGATGTGGGGCGATGGATCACATGATCAGCAAGTGCCCCCAAAACAAGAAGGATGCGGCAAATAATTACGTAAGATTGTTTAAAATTTTTGTTTATGAAAACTCTAACCAGCCAATTATTACAGAATGCTTGATCGATTCAGGAAGCCCAGTATCTTTGATAAAATTTTCTTATGTACCCAAAAATATTAGATTAGAGCCTCATGAAGAGCTATATTATGGATTAAATAAAAGCATACTAAGAAGTTATGGAAAAATGTTATGTTATGTAATGAAAAAGGAAATAAAGATTTATTTTAATTTAATTGCTGTGGCTAACGATTCAATGAGCTGTAATATTGTGCTGGGTAGGGACTTTATGGAGGCTTGTAATCTGAAAATTAATTTAGAAACCTTAAAAATGATCACTGTCGAGGGAATTGAAACCCAAATTGAGAATAAGACAAATATTAGTTTATTGAATGACACTAAGGAACCGAAGGAAGCGGATGAAATGTTAGAAGAAAGTTTAGAAAATGAAATGTTAGGAGAAAGTTTAGAAAGTGAAATTTTGGGAAACGGTTTAGGAAATGAGACTTTAGAAGAAGAAAGGTTCGAAAGCAAAATTTTAGAAGAGACTTTAGGAAATAATAGGGACGATTTCACAAGAGAAATTATGAATATTAATATTTTAGAGGATGATGAAAAGGAAAATTGCTTTATTATTGGTGAAAAAATTAGCTACAAGGATCGAGAGAAGTTTATTAAGTTGTTAGAGACACATTATGTTCAAGTCAAGCGACCTGAGAATCCGAAAATAAAATGTGAAATGAATATAATGTTAGAAAACTCGAAACCATTTAGTTGCGCACCGAGGAGACTGTCATATAGTGAAAAAGCACTGTTAAAAATGTTAGAAGAATACATTAGAGATGGAATTATTCAACCTAGTAAATCGGAGTATGCCTCTCCTATTGTATTAGTGAAGAAGAAGTCGGGGGAACTGAGACTTTGTATCGATTTTAGAAGATTGAACAAAATAATGTCAAAGGATAATTATCCGATACCATTGATTGATGACCTTTTGGATAATTTAGTAGGAAAATCGGTGTTTACGAAATTAGACCTTAAGAATGGCTATTTTCATGTATTTGTTAACAAAGAGTCAGTAAAATTTACGTCTTTTACCACCCCATTGGGACAATTTGAGTTTTTGCGGATGCCGATGGGCTTAAGAACAGCTCCGCAGGTATTTCAGAGATTCGTTAATGACATATTTTCGGACATGATAAGGCAAAAGAAGGTGATCATATATATGGACGATATTTTAGTGGCAAGCAAAAGTTTAGAAGAACATTTAGAAGTTTTAGTAGAAGTATTTAGAAGGCTAGTAGAAAATAAATTAGAGTTGAGAATGGACAAATGCAAATTTTTACAAGACAAGGTTAAATATTTAGGTTTTCTGATTTCGAATGATGGGATTAAGGCTGACAGTAAAGGGTTAGAAGCGATACAAAATTTTCCGGTTCCAGGCAAGGTGCAAGCAGTTCAAAGTTTTTTAAGTCTTTGCTCGTATTTTCGGCGATTCATTAAGGATTTTTCGATATTAGCGAAACCATTGTATGATTTGTTGAGAAAAGATAGAGTTTTTAAGTTCGAAGCAGAAGAATTGGATTGTTTTTCGTTGTTAAAGGCGAAATTAATGGAAGCGCCAGTTTTAGCGATATACGACTACAGAGATGATGTTGAGCTTCACTGTGACGCAAGCGCTTTAGGATTTGGAGCTGTGCTTCTTCAGAAAAAAGAGGACAATAAATTGCATCCTATTTTCTATTTCTCAAAAAGATCGACTTCAACAGAAGCAAAGTATCATAGTTTCGAGTTAGAGACTTTAGCCATAATTTACGCGTTAAGAAGGTTTAGAATATATTTACTAGGCAAACGTTTTAAAATTGTAACAGACTGCAACTCTCTAACGTTAACGCTCAATAAGATTGAGTTGAACCCAAGAATAGCACGGTGGGCTCTAGAATTGCAAGAGTTCGACTATGAATTAAAGCATAGATCAGGCAAACAAATGCAGCATGTAGATGCATTAAGCAGATGCAACAACATAATGATAGTGGAGACAAATACATTCGAAACAAATTTAGTAATTTGTCAATCAAAAGATGCAAAGGTTCAAGAAATTAGGAAAATGTTAGAAAGCAGCGAGCATAAGATATACGAAATGAGAAACGGTGTAATTTATAGGAAAAGTAATGACAACCGATTATTATTTTATGTACCGAATCGAATGGAGGAACACGTGCTATACAAATACCATGACGAAATGGGTCATATTGGGAGGGATAAAATGTTAGATGTTATTGGAAAAAGCTACTGGTTTCCAAACATGAAGGACAAAGTAGTAGAGCATATTCAGAATTGTTGAAAGTGCATAGCTTATTCTCCGAAAGTGGGTAAAGGAGACGGACACTTACATAGCATACCCAAAGGCAATAAGCCTTTTGAGATCATTCATATAGACCATTATGGACCGGTAGATAGCAACAGATTGAAAAAACATATATTTGTGGTGGTAGATGCTTTCACAAAGTTCGTTAGGTTGTACACAACAAAAACGACGAATACAAAAGAGGTGATAAATGCATTAAAAGACTATTTTCGAGCGTACAGTAGACCGAAATGTATAATATCGGATCGAGGCAGTTGTTTTACATCGTCTGAGTTTACAGAGTTTATGGAAGATAGTAACGTTAAGCACATAAAAATTGCGACGGGCTCGCCTCAGGCAAATGGTCAAGTTGAACGAATAAATAGGAGTTTAGGACCCATGATAGCAAAACTGATAGAACCGGAAAAGGGTTTACATTGGGATAGAGTTATGGAAAAGGTTGAGTATTCGATGAATAATACGATGCATAATAGCATTAAGCTATGTCCTAGTGAAACATTATTTGGGATAACACAGAGAGGAGAAACATGTGACGAGCTAAAGGAAAGATTGGAAGATGAAGAAGAGAAAGGAAAGATTAGGAAAAACTTAGAAGATGAAGATGAGATTATTGAGGAAAACAGGAGAAATTTAGAAAAACTTAGAAGAAAATTAGAAGGGAAAGAAGAGATTAGAAATGAGTTAGAATTAGAAGAAAAAAAGTATTGAGGAAAATAGAATAAATTTAGAACAAATTAGACAGAAAGCTGAAGGAAACACAAAGACAGGCTCAAATGAAAAATGAAGAATACTACAATGCGAGAAAGAAGAAGGCAACAGAATATAAAGAAGGAGATTACGTTATGGTTAAGAATTTCGACAGTACTGTGGGTGCTGCAAGAAAGCTCATTCCGAAGACTAAGGGTCCCTATGTCATTGTAAAAGTTTTAAAATATGATAGATATGTTCTTAAAGATATAGACGGGTTTCAGTTGTCTCGCAATCCATACCAAGGCGTGTGGGGTGCAAATAACATTAGACATTGGATAAAATCATAATATATTGATAAAATATGTAATTGTAATATTGTAAAGTAAAGAGAAGCAAATTGTAATACTGAAACGAATTGTAAATATGTTAAAGTTGTACTTAAGTTATAGCATTAAGTCAGAGATAGAGGGCTATCTCAAAGTCAGGACGGCCGAGTCTCTCTCTCAGAGAGCGCTGCTTATGAATTTTGGGGGTTGAAAGGCACGCGGCCGGAGAGTGGCAGATCACTGTTTTTGGAGAAGTTAAAAAGAGAAGACGTAGTTGGTGAACAAAAAGATAAGAAACAAAAGTGTAAAATAATATAAGCAACATATAATACTATAATATAAGAATAAATAAAAGAGACTAATTAAAATAACATACGGCCACAGTATTTATATAAGTTTTTACACGGCTAATACATTTGCATACTCATAAACAAAAAGTTCACATCTCAGCTAATAATGCATGAATCCACTTCAGATTTTGTATTTATATTAATTTTTACACGGCTAATACATTTGCATACTCAATTGTAAATTTATAAACAAAAAGTTCACATCTCAGCTAATACTGCATGTATCCACGGCAGAATTTATATTTAAATTAGTTCTTACAATGCTAATACATTTGCATACTCAATTGTAAATTTGTAAACAAAAAGTTCACAACTCCGAAAATAATGCATGTATCCACGGCAGAATTTACTCTTATATTAGTTTTTAGAAGGCTAATACATTTGCATACTCAATTGTAAATTTGTAAACAAAAAGTTCACAACTCCGCTAATAATGCATGTATCCACGGCAGAATTTGTACTTATATTAGTTTTTAGATTTTATTTGCATACTCAATTGTAAATTTGTAAACAAAAAGTTCACAACTCCGCTAATAATACATGTATCCACGGCAGAATTTGTACTTATATTAGTTTTTAGAAGGCTAATTTATTTGCATACTCAATTGTAAATTTGTAAACAAAAAGTTCACAACTCAGCTAATAATGCATGTATCCACGGCAGAATTTATATTTAAATTAGTTCTTACAATGCTAATACATTTGCATACTCAATTGTAAATTTGTAAACAAAAAGTTCACAACTGCGAAAATAATGCATGTATCCACGGCAGAATTTGTACTTATATTAGTTTTTAGAAGGCTAATACATTTGCATACTCAATTGTAAATTTGTAAACAAAAAGTTCACAACTCCGCTTATAATGCATGTATCCACGGCAGAATTTGTACTTATATTAGTTTTTAGAAGGCTAATACATTTGCATACTCAATTGTAAATTTGTAAACAAAAAGTTCACAACTGCGAAAATAATGCATGTATCCACGGCAGAATTTGTACTTATATTAGTTTTTAGAAGGCTAATACATTTGCATACTCAATTGTAAATTTGTAAACAAAAAGTTCACAACTCCGCTAATAATGCATGTATCAACGGCAGAATTTGTACTGATATTATTTTAGTTTTTACACGTCTAATACATTTGCATACTCAATTGTAAATTTGTAAGCAAAAAGTTAACAACTCAGCTAATAATGCCTGTATCCACTTCAGAATTTGTATTTATATTAGTTTTTACATGGCTAATACATTTGCATACTCAATTGTAAATTTGTAAACAAAAAGTTCACAACTCCGCTAATAATGCATGTATCCACGGCAGAATTTGTACTTATATTAGTTTTTAGAAGGCTAATACATTTGCATACTCAATTGTAAATTTGTAAACAAAAAGTTCACAACTCAGATAATAATGCATATATCCACTTCAGAATTTGTATTTATAACATTTGCATACTCAATT